CACGTATTTGTTTATTATAAGAGAATGGTTCAGTTGACCATGAAAGCTGGGGAGCTTCACCATCTCCCACCTGTGAGTTGAAAATGGAGCACAGCCAGTGGCATCGGTAGAGAGATGATAGTATAGAGGCCACTCAAGGGCAGAAAACAATGTTCTAGACAAAGCAGATGGAATTTTCTCCTCTGCATTTGTTCTTTTGTTCTGTTCCAGCCCCAGGAACCTGGATGGTGCCTGCACTTCTTGGGGAAGACAATCTGCTCTCTGTCAAATGCTGATATCATCCAGTACATACCCAGAAATATTCTGTAGTTTACATATGTGGGTACCCCATGATCCAATCAAGCTGAAACATAAAAATTCACCATCATATATTTATTCCCACCAAATAAGCCACAATTGGTTTCTAATACATGCAATTCCCTTTAGGAAATGCGCTAGATTTTAAATACATAATAGAATTAGAAAAGTGAATATTAATTACAGTATAGCAACTTATGAGACAGAAAAATTACCTATAATCATACAGCTGAATACAATTAGTAACACGTTGGAAGTTCTTAAAAATTTCTTTAACTGGTACATGTTTCCATAGTTATTTTCACATCCCATCCAGCTTTAAGCAGATTCCCAATGTGACTATAACTCTTCTTGGGACTGCGATTGACCATGACGTCCGGAGGGCTCTGAGGAAAATGGATTCCATCATGGAGAGCCAGGACCAGATGTGTTCTTGGCCACTGCAGCCCCATTTAGCATTTTGTTCTGCTAAATATCAGTGCACTTTCAGAAAAATCCTGTGAGTAGATGCAATTGCATGTAGAAAATTTCTCATGTTGTACAAAGATGAAGCATAAGGCCCTGAGTTTCAAAGTAGAAGTTTGTGGTGAAAGTTGTTTTGTGATTTGCTCTGATGTTCATATTCAAATTGTTCCTGTCTGAATTAAATGATGGAGATGTAAAGCCCAGTTCCACCCAATATGGGAAGATAAGGATATGTGTGGCAGAGTCCTTGCTTTCGAAGGTCTTACAGTCAAGCTGGTTTGTCAGACAACTGGGGACATTTTATGAGAGCAGCAGCATGAGGACCAGGAAAGTTGGGGATGGTGAGGGCTGTGTGTCACCTGACTCTCAGGATGCTTCTTGGACATGATAATACTTCAGATTTGTTCAGAAGAACAGGCAAGATTGGCCAAACGCAAGTAAATAGGGAAAGTGATTTGAGGGTCCGTGTGAGCTAGGTGGGGTGGCAGAACTGGGCTGCTCCCATGGTGGCGGGCACCTTCCCTAGCTGGTGGAGCTGTGTAATAATGAGAAATTGTATCAGCAGTTCTCAAACTTACAGTCCCCTCAACCCTTTATGCTTGTAAAAATTATTGAGCATATCAATAATTTTCTGTTTATATGGGTAATTTCTGTTCATATTTACTGGATTAGAAATTTAAAGATTAATATTTTTTATAAAAATGTGCTCCAAATAAAATTTTTAGTGACACAGTTGGTAATGGTGTTGAGAATCTTTTTTTTTTTTTTTTAACTTTTAAGTTTTTTTTTTTTTTTTTTTTTTGCTTTTAGTACTAGGGATCGAACTTGCAACCTAGCCCTTGCCAGGTAGGCACTTATGCCACTGAGCTAAACTCCTGGCCTGGAAATCTTAACTGATTAAAACAGATGGATTCTCATATCTATGGCTGCATTTACTGGAAAGCTATTCCCGAAGAACACAATTCACTTCTTCTCAATTGGGCATTTGTGAGTTGGCAGGGGAAGGTGGGCAGGGAGTGGGGCAGATTTTCTCAACTGGTTAAAAATCTGCTGCTAATGTCTTACAGGATTGGAGTGGTGACCTTACTGTCCCTAGATCCTGCATGCACACAGTCCCCCAGCCTGCCTGGCTTGCTGGTGCTCTGAAAAGCTCTGAGTGAGATCCAGAGAGGGAAGATGTCTTCCCAAGAGGTGCAGGCAGTGGGGAAGAGGCACAAAAAGAGCTCTCTTCCTCGGTCACAGAATGCAGCCACCTAGAAGAGACAATTAACCAGGAACAATGCTCACGTTGATTACACCTCCTCACCCTTGTGTTTTCTGCCAGCTCCCTGAAACCTTCCGTTTCAGAAAACCCATAATTTATGGAATTCCTTTGAAGAAGCCCCTGTGAATAATGCATATCTCTGTCTCCTGTCCATCAAATGATTTTGTCATTCCAAGTGGGTCTGACCAACATGAATAGTTGGAATCGACTCCTGCTGGACTTGAAGGAGGGTTGCCCCTCTGTTCATAATTACCTGATGGAAAGAGCTTTGCCCTGAGTCCACAAAAGGCTTTGGCTTGACACGCTGCCTTACCTTAACCATATGCCACAGTGCAGACTAAAATAATGGTGCCTTTTGAAGTGATGGGAATTATATTCATTTCCGCACAAGATACGTAGATTCAGTACAACATATTCATTTTTCAAAGGCCATTGAGTAGCAAGGAACACACACCTGATCTTTAGGTGGGTGGTGCTGTCAGGGCCAAATGAGTGAGTTGAGGCCAATTAGCAGGTTGTGCCCGGGACTGACCTCCCATGGGTCCCGGGGCCATCCCACTGCTGCCACCAAGGATCACGCTGCTAGAACCTTGGCCTCTAACCCTTGTCCTAATTTAGGGAGGTGAAGCTTAAAAGTGGAGCTATTTTTACCTTTGGGCACAATGACAGCCAGCACCACAGGGAGAAGGAGAGTGCTGGGCAGCAGAGCAGTGCAGGCTGTGAGCGCTGTCTTTGTTTTCTGTCCCAGTGCCTGGGCCACAGAGAGTGCAGACATCCCCTCTGTGTCCCCCCTCCTCCATACTCCTGCCCAGGTACAGCCCACAGGAGCCGTGTCCAAATGGTGCAAGGTGCTTCTCTGACCACCCTGCCATCTGCCCTGGCATCCATTCTACTAACACCTGGGGACAAAGAAGTCATGAGAAATAATGAGACTGGGCACAGTTCTTGCTTAGTAGGGAAGGGCTGGCTCCAAACTGGCACTCTGTCGTCTACTTGTATTTCCCTGAACACAAGAGCTAGCTTTAAACTAATCAACCTTGAAAGCCAGAGATCAAAAATGCCGCCCTCAGTCAGCCTGTCCTTGTCTCACCTGCCTTACGGAGTAGCCACTGAGCAAGGAACAGTTATGACAAGTAAGGAAGGACAGGCTGATTGAGGCTGGCATTTTTGATCTCTACTTTTGAAGGCTGATTATTTTTCACCTAGGTCTTATTTTTGGGCAGAGGGGGGGACCAAAGCAGTGGGCATCCCTTGTTTAGGAAAGAGGTTTGATTGCACCTTTTTGTAGGAGCCTGAGTTTCTTGGGAGAGTGGGAAGTTGGGGGGCGTGCCGCCTCTTAACAGGCTGGCTTCCAGGACTGCTTTTTTGCAGAGTGGATTGAGGCATAGAGAGGCAGGCAGGGGCCAGGAGACAGTGGGCAGGGGCAGGGAAAATGAAGCAGAGGGGAGCGTCAGGTGTTTTGTTCTACTTTTGATTTTTCCAGAAGCATCCAGAAAGGCCACACAGGGAAGACAAAGAAAACAATAAGCACAATAGACAAGGTTGAAGCTGACTACCAATAATCAGGTAGTTTTGAAAATGCAAATATACAGTGATCAGAACTTAGATTTAGTGGACAGGCAGGGCTGTTAGCTGGGAGCCAAGCAATAAGACATCAGCAAATGTGGAAGCCTGGCTGAGCCGTACTGCGGAGTCTGGGAGGGGGGACCATATCCTGGGAAGGCTGGGCTCACCTTTTCACCCTCCAGGAAGAAGGTCCAGTCCTTTCATCTGCACTGGATTTTAATGCACTTTCTTTTCCTTTCCTCAGTTGACAAATGGGAGACCAAATATTTCTTAGATCTCACTGTTGTCATAAGGATCCAATATACTATATAAATAACAGCTTTATTGTAAGCACTAAAATGCTATTGAATAAATAAATCCTTTTTGCAAAAGAGCAAAAGGATAATCAGAGGAAGGATAGGAGGGCTTGCAGTGGCAGGCCATGAAGGTCCTTGCTGTTCTGGTGGGTTCTTGAAAGTGCTACCAGCTCCACGGCCCGTGTTCCAGTCCAGTTCTGGTCCACAACCTTATGATGGATTCTAAAGTTTTGGTCTCCACTTACTCCTCTGGTAGATCCCTGTAACTCTGTGGCATTTTTCAAGTTTCTTTTCTGTAAGTGGATATTGTTTCTTAAGCTTGTATTTGAAGTGATGGACAAATTCAGGCATTTATCTCTTATGATCCAGTCAGAAGCATCGTGATTTACTTCAGGGAGGGAAATTTGTTCAGCCTCTTGGGCTCTGAAGCAGAGGGACCTTGATGTTTCATAGTTTTTGACGTAATCGCTCTTTGGGAACTTTTCCTTTCTTGGCAGGAAATGGAGAGAAGTCATTCATGAAGGAGATCTTCCTGCCTTCTGGTCTGGGATTTTAAGTGTGGAATTATTTAAAAAATAAAAAAAAAAAAAGAAGAAGAAAAGAGGAAAAAAAGTTGAAGGTGGTTTGTACCAATATTGCCTTGCTTTACAGATGGAACAGTATTATTCATTTTTGCTTTTCAAGGGAAGGGTGATTGTTTAAGCATGTTAGCTGAAAAAAAATGGTAAGCGGCAGCATCTTTGTGACAGTATCTGTAGCTGTCCTGCCCAAATGCTGGATGTACGACACTGCTACATTATTCCATTTGACCAGAGCAACTGGGGAGGGTGATTCTGCTGTCAATGAGTGATGTCTTGCTAGAGTTCTGGCTTCCCATGTGGTTGACTCTGGAGGAAAGAGGATGCCGGTAGGTGACAATCTGATTGCTGGGTGCTGAGGTCACCTTATCAAGTCTGAATGCCAGTTCTTTTGAACAATTGGGTAAAAATACCAGCGTGAAGCAATCAACAAAGGAAAGCTGATGGGTTGGCAGGATCATCAGTTTATTTTCTTCAGCTGAAGCTTTGAACTCCGAGGGCTGATGAAGTACCTTCTCTTTCTTTTTCCAAAAGTATTTTCTGGAAGAAATGTCAAAGGATCCTAGTCGAAGAGGAATGTGAAGACAGGCCCTCGGTAACAGGCGAAGCTCCACAGCCTCCTGGTCCGCTGGATGTGGCAGCCCATGCTGGGAGGAGACCTTGATGTTGCTATCAGACAGGTGAGACAGGAAGTTTCTGGTGACACCAGTTAACCCTGTGTGTGCAGTGGTCTGTCTTTTTTCCCTTTTCTTTCTTTTTTTTAACTATTAGTCTGAGATGACATGAGAAGGGACTCTAGGGCATGGGAAGAGGAGATAATTACCAGATTTGAGTGGAAAGGGGAACTCTTCTATCTATCAAACTAATAGACACTGGGTATGACATGCACAGTGGGGTTACATGGTCTATATTCCAGGTAGCTGCAAACAGCCAGACATGGAGGCTAAGCTGCCTGCAGAAGTAGGGCACCCTGAGAGTTCCTGGAATTGGTGTGTGGGTGCGACCCTACTGCACAGTGGAAGTCAGGATAATCAAATCTTTAAACTGTGTCCAATTTTTCTTAAGACAAGATTGCCCAGGGCAAAACCCTACCAGTTTCTAGAGTGAGCAGCTGAGTACGTATTGAGGATCCTTGTCACTAGGGAGGGAGGCGAGACACTGAGCCTGTCACTGGTTCTGCCTGAGTGGGCTGGGGCTGTGTCAGTGTGAGGAAGGAGAAATGAGCCTATTAGCTTTGAGAAGTCCGACATGACCTGTTCCTACTAAGCTATCTTACAAATGGAGTCAAATGCTGAGTTGGGGAGAAGTTTGGCATTTGGAAGCGAGGCTGATTCTAGTGGATAATTGGATTAATTACCTATTTTATTTTAGTGCTTGAGTGTGGCTAGATATTTGTGTGTAAGTACGTAAGATTTGGGTTTTCTAGATAATATTCCTGAAGTGGAACTAGGATGATGATTATGTAAGATCCTTTAAACTCAGAGCTTCATGAACAAATTGGATCCTTTAATGGACATACAATTTGAATATTGCTGTAGTTAGCTTATGTAGCTTTTCCAACTTCTGTATTCCTAACTAGGTGCTTTCCCCATTATTTTAGAATCATGCACATATAAACTACTCTTCCATATGGATTTCACTTTTGTTTTAAGAAAATGAAAAACATTTTATTGTACAGATTAGGAAACAAACTATACTGAAAGGAAAATAAATTAATGTAAAGATTCTCGATTTGTATCATGATAGATTATTCTGTGAAAAATTTATCTCTTGGTAAGATTTCAGCTTTTTGCATTGGTTTCTGTTTTCCCTGATTTTATTTTGTGATGCTGTACTTTTGATTATCATTTCATGGTACATGGCTCTACTATTTATTTTTAGTGTTACCTAATTTAAGTGCTCCTTTTGTTATATAACGTCATCATGTCATTCTCCTGTTGAAATTCTTTTAAAAATTCTTTTTTCCTTTTAAAAAGTGAGAAATCAATTTATACATGTGACACATGAAGCAAAATAAAAGCCTCTTGATTTATTTTTCCTCATCCGTTTCTCCTTGTTTTATTGACATTCATGAGTGGATTTTCATTTTTTCTTTAAAGAATTCTCTTGCTCCAGTACAACTAACTTTTCTAATTATATCACTTTTAGAAAGTCACCTCTATTGTTCAAAAACTTTAATGACTCTCTATTACTTATCTCATTAACTCTGAACTATCTTCCTTTAAAAGCCTTCTTTAAAAACCAAGTTGTCTTTTAAATAATAATGAATGACTATGTGAGTCTTTCACACCAGTTAGGTCCGTCTCTTGACTCTCCCATAAACATAAGTAGTTTAGCACTTTCACCCATACTGTTTTTCCTTTTGGAACACGCAGGACAAAGAATTTTCTGTAGGAACCAAGGAACAACGTGGAATCTGCTGTTCACTCTGTCCTCAACCTGTCTTGAAGTCTGTTTACAGACTGTTTCTCAGACATAGAGCTCTTCAGGCAACTCTTGTCCTTCTGATCTTTTTGTCTCAATTTCAATGTGATTTATTTCCTTACGCAGCCACAAAGCCTGCATCAGTCATCATGAGTTATTCCTAGGAACGCATGCATGTGTTGTTAATGCAGCAGCACTAAACGGTTTATATCTCTTCATTGCACCTAAAACCCAGTGTTGAGTATTGACTGTGTTTGTTTCTTCTGACAAATCAATAAATACTGAATTATATCAGCCACCCTACACCAGTGTTTCTGTTCAGTTGCATTTGCTCTTCAGTTCAGTGCTAAGACAGGGAGATCAGAAGAGTGGGATATGTCAGATATGTTGAGGGTAATTAAAGTGTCATAGGCTGAATGCAACCACACCAATGGCCAATTCTAAGTGAAACAGGAAGAATTTAACCAGTTACCTTAAGTTCAGTGTTGGTTTCCATTTCTTGGCTTTTACAATAATTACTGTCTGAAAATTGGCTTTGTAAAAAATATATACAGTTAGGTTGACTTTGGTATTTACTTATATTGGGGGTCTAGGTTGTACCCCTAACTTCAGGTCGGGTGGTAAAGATGACTCACTCTCACACCAGGGAAGCCATGAGGAAGGTATGCGGAGGCTTTATTATCTTATTCCATTTCTAATTTTAGAAATAGAGAAGTTTAGCCTCATTATTAATTAAATGGGCTTTTTTTGGACTGACCTGGAAACCTAATAGTTATTTCTCATAATGTCCATAGAAACTGTTTCAACTTCCAAGTAACTAATGACTATGTCCCCTGGGTTTCAGTTAGAGAACCCTATTTGTGAATCTAGAATTGCTTATATGTGACTTTTTTTGCATGAGAAATGAATATAAATATTTGTTTTATATTTTTTACAAGTATAAATTCCTGAACATACTGTTTATAGATGGCTACTGAACTATTTTTGATTCCTTGAGAATAAAATTCATTATTTGTTAAATGAGTGAAAATTGAAATATAGAAATTGCTAATAATTGTTCTCTTTACTATTAAAATAGATGAGGACTTCACCTTCTCATACAATTTATGGATTCCAAGGGCTTGTAAGTCCCACTCATTATATAATTTCTGTTCTTTTATTGCTTCCTTTTGACTCAGTGGAATGGATGGGTTCTTTACTTCTTTCATGCTAAATCAAGATGATTATCACTGGATTTTACTTTCTTACCAGGAGGTCCAAATCTTACAAATAAAAACAATGGCTGGCATAATAAACAACTGACAATATCCTGATGTAGTCCAGGGATTCCTACCATGCTTTTCCCAACCGACCCAGGCTCTAAGCTATCTAAAGCAGCCCCCAGATATGTTTCAAGGTAGAAAATCAAGTGAAACCTTTTTAAAAATGTATTTTTTAAAGGTAGGTGCTCCATTTTTGCTTTGAGAACTAATGTATTCCACTAAATCCTGGGCCGATTCAGTGCACATTTATTCCTTTTCCCTTAAGATACTTGATTAATGATCATATGTGTGTGTATATATATATATATATATATATATATATATATATATTTTTTTTTTTTTTTTTTTTTTTTTTCCCCTACAGTGAGCCAAGGTGGCATGTGAAGCAAGGACATGCTTGTCTCAGGTTTATTGTTACCATTCTTTGAGATGGAGTGAGTGAGCGAGCATGCCAGGGTAACACTCTCATTGTGAAGCCAAAAAGGACATTTGGAGTGCCTCGGCTATGCAGCTCTCCCTGTCTTTCCTTAGTCCACGCAGTACATGTTACTTACATTTATCTCAGTGAGCAGGTACATGGACCTCACATAGCTTGATGCTTTTTTCTTCCTCTTCCACTTCTTACTTACCTCCCTCCCTCAATCTCTAGATCCCTTTTCTCCTTTTTTATTATTATTGTTATTTTTTTAGTTTGTGATATATAATGCTTATATTCATTGTGGATAGTTGGTACATGTACGTGAAATGTCTTAAATCTTTTTTCATCTCCTTCCCTTTCCCTCTCCTGCCCTCCTTTACCCTTGGTCTCTTGGTCTCTTTCCCATTTGTAAAAAATTTTACATCTTATTTCCTTTTTTTCTTTTATTTGTGCTCTGGGCTGCTCAAATGAGAGAAACCATGTGGTATATAAGCTTGTATGTCTGATTTATTTTATCTAACATGTTTTCAAAGTGTGCCCATTTTCCTACAGATGTCTCCAGTTATCCTTCTTTATCACCCAGTAGTTTTCTATTATGCATAGATACCACATTTTCTTTATCCATTTGTCTGTTGATGAACATACAGGCTGCCAAGGTTTAGCTTTCATGAACTGTGCTACTATAAACATTGAGATAGATGTTGGTCTGTAATATAGTATCTTTAGCTCTTTAGGGAAGATACATAGAAGGGGAATAGCCAGTTCAATGGAATTTCTGTTTCTGAGAAATCTCCATATTGATTTCCATAATGGTTATATAGCTTATGTGTCTACCAACTGTATGAAAGACTTTTATTTTCCACAGGCAGGATGGCATTCATTATTATTTGGTTTCTTGATACAGTAATTGCCATTTTTTCTAGTGTAAGATGCAATCTTAGTGTTGTTTTAATTTGCATTTCTCTAAGGGCCAGAGGTATTGAATGTTTTTTCACATGTTTATTCTCCATTTGCACTTCTTCATTTTAAGAAGTGTCTGTTCATTTTCCTTGCCCAGTTTTTGCCTGGGTCCTTTATTTGGGAGAGGAGATAATTTTTTCAATTCTTTATATATACTAGTTACTAGTCTTCTGTCTGAAGGATAGCTGGCAAATTTTTTTTTCCATTCTGTAGGTTATGTCTTCACTCAATTGATTGGTTCCTTTGCATTGTAGAAGTTTTTAATTTGTTATAATCCAATTTTTTGATTCTTGCTGTTATTCCTAGTGCTGCTGGAGTTCTGGAAGTCTTTGCCTATGCCTGTGTCCTCAAAAGTCTGACCTATTTTATCTTCTAGTAGATTAAGTGTTTCTATTTTAATGTTTATATCTTTGGTTCCTTCTGAATTTGGTTCAGTACATGGTGAAATACAGGAGTCCAGCTTCAGTCTTCTGTATATGCATGGCCAGTTTTTCCAGCACCATTTGCTAAAGAGAATCTTTTTTCTCCATTTCAAGATTTGTGAAAGATAGAATACCTGAACATATCTAGGATTGTTTCCCTGTTCTTTTTTTGTTTCATCAATCTTTTTGTCTTTTTTTAACCACAATTCTTTTTTTAACCACTGTACCTCTTTTTAAAAAAATCATTGTACTTTTGTAGTATAATTTGAAGTCAGATATTGTGACATGTCCTGATTTGTTCTTGTGGCCCAAGATTGCATTTGCTAATTTGGGTCTCTTTTGGCTTTATATGAATTTTAGGATTGTTTTTTCTACTTCTGTGAGGATAGTATTGGTATTTTTAGTGGGATTGCATAAGAACTATAAACAAGTTTTGAAAGTATGGCCATTTTGACAACACTGGTTCTGCTTATCAGGAACAGGATATATTACCATTTTCAATCTTTTTTTTCAGAGTACTATGGTTTTCATTGCACAGGACTTTCATCTTTTGGTTAGGTTAATTACTGGGCAGTGAAGTTTTTTTGATGCTATTGTGAATGGAATTGTTTGCCTAGTTTCCTTCTCAGTAAGCCATTATTTGTATACAGAAATGCTATTGATTTTTGAGGGCTGATTTTGTATCCTGCTACATTGCTTAGTTTGATTATTAAATCTAGGAGTTTTTAAATAGAATTTTTAGGTCTTCTATGTAGCGGTTCATGTCATCTGCAAATAATGCTTGGTTCCTCAGTTTCTGAATTTAATGTGTTTTATGATTTGGTGACGATGGCTGCATTTGTGCTTCTGAGGGGAAGATGGCTATGGTCATGTTTGTTACCCAAGGTGGTGTTCATGAAGGGAAGCAAAATTTTGCCAAGCACTTTTGTTTCTGAGTCTGATTATTTGCAGACAGAAGCATTTGTGAATTGAAGCATTATAGTAATTTGACTTTTTAAAATTTCTTTATCTTGTATGAATGACCTAGTGAATGATTTAGCTGTTAGGAATTGTGCTGCTCTACACACTGAGATGGATATTGGTCTGTAATATGATGTCTTTAGCTCTTTAGGGAAGATACATGAAAGTGGAATAGTGAATGTTTTGAGTGCAATGCTGAACCAAAGTGGTGATAATGGACATCCTTGTCTTATTCCTGATTCTACAAGGAAAGCTTTAAGTTTTTCTTCATTTAATATGATGTTAGCTGTTGGTTTGTCATAACTGGTTCTATCAGATTCAGGTAAGGTCCTTCTGAAACCTATTTTCTTCAGAATTTTTTTTAGCATAAATAGGTGTTGAATTTTGTCAAAGGATTTTTCTGCATCTATTGATATGATCATATGATTTTGGTCCTTGCTTCTGTTTACATCGTATATTACATGTATTGATTTGTGTATGTTGAACCATCCTTAAAACTCTAGGATGAAGACTCCTTGGTCATGATATATGGTCCTTTTGATGATTTCTTGCTTATATCTTCTTGAAGATTTTTCCATCTATTTTTATTCAGCAGTCTGGCCCATAGTTTTCTATTTTAATTGGATCTTTGTCTGGTTTTGGGATCAGAGTGATGCTAGAGAAATGAGTTTGCAAGAACTGCTTGCTTTTTCAATTTCACTCTAGAGTTTGAGGAGTAATAGTGTTATAATGTCCTGGAAGTCTTGTAGAATTCAGCAGGGAATACATTTTTGGGTCTCACATTTTTCCTACTCAGTAGGATTTTTGTTACTGCCTCAATTTCATTGTTTTTTATTGGATTGTTCATGGTTCTCAGCACTTGTATTCAGTGTCAAGGCCATGCACATGAGACATGTCTGTTTGTTTTATCACAGCTTCTGGATTCTTGGCCTTGACATTTACACATATGTCACCCCATAGTTTGTTAATCCCAGGCACTGCAGTGTCTGAAGTCAAGCTCAATCATCCATACTCTGATTCCTATTGTTCAGTATTAGAGTTAAATGTCAAATTGTACTCTCTAAAAAATACTTGCTTCTTTAGACATTAGCTCAGTGTCCTTTTACATTTTTAACTAATTAATTTAAATTTTGAGACAGGTTCACATTAAATTGCCTGTGCTGGCCTTTCACTTGTGATCCTCCTGCCTCAGCCTCCCAAGTAGCTAGGACTATAGGCAGGCACCACCAGGCCTGGATCAGGGACATTTTTTAATGCCATTCCCCCAGAAATAGAATTTGGTTCCCTTGCCACTAGCATCCTAAAACCTCCTAGGGGAGATCTGTTTTATAGTCTGTACCTCTACAACAATTTCTGCGTCAGTGTTCAGGCAGGACCAAATTTAGGGTGACAATTTTCCCATCTCAAAGAACTGTTCTCATTTATGGGCTGATAAGAACAAAAGCCTGAGGACACTCAGGACTCTAGCCACTAGAAAAGACAATACATGTCACAGGTAGCCCGAGGGACATCTGGAGAGGAAGTGTCACCTCTTCTGGGTTTTAAGGCAAATGGCTTGGGCTACCTCTAGCCCCGGCTGTGCATGACCCTCCTGGCCCCTGGGCCATCTCCCTGAAGACCCTGTGGATAGAGTCGCTACCCAGCCACAGGCAAGAGCAAGAGGTCAAAGTCCCCTAGGCTGAACTGCCTCTTTCTGCTTCTTACCCTAGGACTGCCTCCGGTGATAATCTGCCACTCAGCAGCATTTTGAAAAGGCATCACTGGAGAATTTAAGAAGTCACCCTGGAATATTTAATAATTTAGGGTATTATATCTAAGTCTGGGGTGCTGATATTCTTGGGAAATAGTAAATGATCGCTTAAATTAGCAATCCCAAAGAATGTACCTGGCAAGTCAGCACCTGCCCTTGACTGTATCAGTTTTGTGTTGCAGGGGAAACCAGGTTGCATTCGTACCCTCTGAATATAGAGTTTTGGGGCCATGGAGAGGAGAAAGGACTGAGCCTGACAGATGCAAGCTGTGAAGTGGGGTGAGTTCCTTTATCCTCTCTAAAAGTGATGTGAAAAGAACATTTGGTCTGAAATCAGATATTGCTCCAGTTACCTTCTGTGCCACTCAGGGCAGGTCACACCACCTGTCTTTTCTCCAGTCTCTTATATCTTTAAAACTGGGATAAGAATTATGCCCACTCAAGTAAAACAGAAGTTTAAGAACTTACTCTGTGTCAGCACTGTTCTAATGCCTCAGTGGTCATTTATTCCTTAGCCCTAACCCTCAAGCCTACAAAGTGGGTATCGTCATTGTGCCCATTTTACAGATACAAAAGCCAAAGTAGACAAGAATGAGATAGAATTAAGCTTCAGGTCCAGGCCATCTGCCTCCCATGCCACAGAATACATATTGTCTACATTTTATAGAATGCTGGTTATATCAAATTGTGTTTTTAGCTTCAATATAAAGTATTAATGTAATGAAGAAGATGAGAACATGAACACATACAAGATCCTCAGCCCACACCTTTGTCTGTATTTCACTTCTCACGGCTTCAAGACCCTGTAATCAATCATGATCCAAATATATTAAATGGAAAATTCCAGGGGTAAATAATTCCCAGATTTTAATGTACACAGTGTTCTGAGTAGTGTGACTAACTGTGGGGCAGTGCTGCTGTGTCCTGCCTGGGACTTTGGTCACTCTCTTTCCAGGGTATCTGTGCTGTACACACTTTCTGCCCATGGCTTATTTTGTAGCTGTCTTGAGTTTTGGATTGACCTTCAGATACCGCCACACTTGTGTTCAGGTGGCCCCCATTTTCCTTCACGTAGTCCTCCAATGCAAGCGCAGTGAGATTGGAAATTCAGATGGGCCAAAGAGAAACCGCAAAAATGCTTCCTGTTACAAGTGAAAAAGTGAATGTAGAGTGAGATGTTTTGAGAGAGAAAGGACATTCGTGCATCTTTTTAGTACCAAATATTATTATAATTGTTCTGTTTTATCACTAGTTGCTGTTAATCTCTTAGTGTCACCAGCTTGCACCTTGAATGCTGTCAGAGGTGTGCAGTAGTGTCTGTGGTTCCAGAATCCACACAGGTCTCAGGTGCTCTGCAGATGAAGTGGGCTGCTGGACTGTGGGCTTCGGTCTCACACTGCCTAATTGCCTTTTGGATGTTTTGTTTTTATCCGTGTTCTACTCAAATCCATGGAATAATAAACCACGGGGTAATAGCATTATAAACTTCCTAAAATGTAGAGCTGAAAAACCATAAGCAATGTGCACATTGGAGATCAAGGTTAAAATTTGGTTAACACTCGAATTGAATTTCTTTGCATCTGCCCAGGGCTGCTTGAGAGGCAACTGGGTAATTATGAAGCACAGAGATTTTTCTCTTAGTTCTGCTTCTAGTAAGCAGCTCTGGGACAGTAGGTATGGCACTTCCTCTCTGTGCCTGGGCTCCCTTTTATTTATTTATTTTTTTTAAATTTGCAGTAGTGTTGCCTTCCCAACAGGGCTATGATGAGGATGATACACACGAGAATGGGTGGTTTGCAGGGAAAATTTTTTTCTCAAAATTACCGGATAATTCATCTGAAGCAGGAGAGGGGACAGGGAAATAACAAAAATGTAGTTGGGGAAAAGAGGGAACTTTTCCTAGGAAATCATAGAAAGATCCCTGAAGGCAGTTGGGCGGGTCCTCGTCTTTTTAGGGTAGCTGGTGCTTGCGCAGGTGGACATGTTAGCTGATTGGGAAAGGAAAAGGCCACCTCCAAGTGGACATTGGGCTATCTGACTCTCAGAGCTGTGGAGGCCCGGCTCCTTGCATTTTCTGTATGTCAGCGAGTCTCTCTCAGAACAGATGTTCAGGGTCCTCTAAAATAAGCTTATATTTAATGTCAGGCACAATCTGAGCTCAGCATATTTCCAGCTCAGCAGAGTGGCTTCTGTGTACAGCTGTAAGTCACATTTTTTGCGTATGTCCGAGTGCCAAAGGTACTCCCTGAAAGACACTGCCATATTAGCTTCCTGTTGTTCCTAGTTTGGGCTTCAGGATAAAACTCTACACATGTATGTGTGGGTGGGTGGGGGATGAACAAGAAAGTCAGTGTGAAACACTGAATCACTGAAAATGTGTCTTAGCACACACACATGCACCAAACCAGAAACCAAAAACCAAACAAACAAGAACAAATCTAAATCTAGGACTAATTGTTTCCAGGACCAAAAAAAAAAAAAAAAAAAAGAAAAAAAAAAAAAGACATACATTCTCATTCAAGAAGCTTTAAACATAAATCTTGCTAAGTTTGCTGTGGTAAAATATTATGATTTTTAATTTTGAATAGCCAATAGCTGTGAAAGCCATCACATTTAAAATGAGATCTTACTTATGGCATCTGCTTTGTTAGTAAGTTAAAGCTTCAGTATTGGCCTTCATGATTCTCACAGATTCAGATTAATTTAAATTAATATAACTATATATTTACAACAGACTGTTCAGTGCTTCTGAGAATCAATTAAAAGAATTACATGCATTATGTACTCACCATGATGAATATAATTGTTATATACCCCAAACATGGACTAATAAAAAAAGTAGCCATAGGTAATATGCAAACAGATATGGCCATGTTACTGTAAAATTTTATGAAATCTGAAAAAAACAACACAAATGCGTGATGCATCTCATGAGATCCATTTTCTGAAATGCCAAGCTTTTCCTGAGTGTCTGTGTGCAGTTTGGAGCCAGGCTTGTGCTGGAGTACAACAGAAATCAGTCTGAGTCAGACTGAATGGATTGAGATCTAGTTTTTCTACTTGTTACTGCGAGTGTTCTGAAAACCCATGAACATTTCAACCAAAGGTCAAATGATGGTTGTAGCTATCATGCAGCTCTGAGGGTGACATGGGACAGTGTAACATGTGAAATAATAGATACAAGTTTTGACACCCATTAAAGGCTCCAAAGATGGTGATTTTATTGGTGGTTTCACAACCTGCATACAAGTCCACTGACACACCGCCGACAGGTGCTGCGTCCAAGGACTAGGAGGTGGCGTAATGCTCCCCTGTGGCTCTCAGAGTGAGCCATGCAGAGGACACAGCATGTACTGCTACCTGCTATGTTCTGAGGATGCTGCGGCCATCTGTGGCAGAGTCTCCACCAGCAATGGACACTAGTGTGAGTGACCCACTTCCAGGAGGATTCCACAGCCTCAGGGAAGCTGTTGCTCAGCAGGGGCCATGGGTGCCATCTTGTCCACAATTTCATGAGGGTCCTTGAGTCAGAGCCATCCAATTTGTTGCTCCTGATTCCCAGCTGTCAACAGATAAATACTTGCCTTTGCCAGCTACTTCAGGTTGGGTCATTTGCTATCTAGCAATAGCAACACAAAACAATAACATTCCCGACTGGGACGAAAAGCCAGAATCAGTTAACAGCGCCTGCCTGTGTCCAGGTGTTGGTTACAATTAGAACTAAAATCAAGAGAGTGATTGATTTTGTTAATGTATTTATTTATTTAACAAATACGTGGGATGTTGAGCATGAGCAAGGCCCTCTCTGGACCCCAGATTGCCTGTGAGGAAACTAAGGACTCTTTAAGAAGATGAGGATGGGGGCTGGAGGTTTAGCTCAGCGGCGTAAGTGCCTGCCTTGCAAGCAGGCAGTCATGATTCGTCCCCGATGTGTTTAGCCCCAGATCTCCACTAGAGTGACACTTTCTGAGGATCTTCTGGTCTTTTGCTTCTTACCTTGCTGCCACCACCCTCTGCCACAGTGGTCTGCTCCCTGGACCACTGGCAGGGTTATCTCTTAAATGATCCCCTTCATGTATTATAATACATACAGAAGATTTTAATTGAAAGTATGCAAGCCAAATCTAATTACTTGCTTCTGTAAAACTTTACACACTTAGATAGCCATTGAACTTTCTGGGCTCTCCTTGATCTTAGCCTGCTTACCCGCCTTTTGCACTGATTGTCTTTCACTTTGTTCTTGGTTGGCTATGCTTCAGCCACATCAGCCTTCACCTGGCTCCCCAAGTCTCGGGGTTGTTGTTGTTATAAGGGTCCCGATGAGTCACTTTCTTTTGCATCTTGATGCTGGGCTTGCCCATGTGACTCACCTTGTCCTCTGAAGCAAGAGAAAATGTGTTGTTTCTGCTATGGAAGAAGTCTCAAATATGTACTACTTTTATTTGGGTATCTTGTGCCTCAGTTTCCTTTATGATTTTGCCAGACTTCAAATTCCAGAGCTAGCTATTGTGGGATGTGAGCCCTGCCCTTATAGGATGAGACACTATAGCTGGCTCCCTCTGTTCTGCATATTTCTGTAGCCGCATCTGCCCTCTTTGGGGGCCTAGCTCACAGAATTCTGGCCCCATGGCCACCACCATCTGATACTTCCAGGTGTGCCTCACTCCTCTCTACCTTGCTAATTTGTGACAATTGTCCATCCTTAACTCTCATATCTAGGCGAAGTCTTCTTCATCCCTCTTGACTGAATAACCCCATCATTAAACTCTAGTAACTATTTCAATTACAAAATCTTTGTGTGATTATTTACTTGTTTAGTTAACATACACTTATTGAGCATCTACTATGTGCCAGATACTGTTTTAGGCACTGAGGTAACATCAGTAAATGAGGCAACAAAAATTCTTGCCCTAATAGTGCTTATGTCTCAAAGAAACAAACAGACAATAACTAAGATGAATGTAAAATTATAAGGAAGTCAGATGCTAATAAGAATTATGCAGAAAATTAAGACAGAAAAGGGAAAATAAATCCTGCTTGCTGAGAAGGCCTGGAATTTTATGTACAAAGCTCAGCAAAGGCTCATTAGATAATAACATTTGTGTAAAATCTAAAGGAGATGAGGGAGTGGCAGTAGCAAATATTCAGGAAAGATCATTCCATCAAGGCCAACAGTCCTGAGGTAGGTTCCTGCTTGCTGGTGGTAGGTTTCAGGGATGTTCTTAAGGATATTCCTGAGTACCCCTTGTTAAGGGCGAACACTGAGGAATGAAGTGAAA